TGGTCAGATAAACACAGATGCCCCAGTGTTCTGATGCAAACGTCTCTGCGTTCGGCGCGATATGGAGCGATATGGAGCGATACGGCGGCCCTGAGCGGGACCCTGTGATTAACAGTGGAGAAAATGAGCCACAGATCCGACATACCCCCCAATGTCCCCCCCCCCACCCCACCGTTGACCGTCACCGAACCGATAAGAGATTACTAGCACATGGCATCGTTAAGAAAGCCATTAGTGGCGGCTGACATCAGATTATTATGGGCTTTCAATCACTGTGGTGGGGGGGGGTCATTACAGCCCAAAAAAACAGCATATCGCTCCAGAGCCCGGACCACTGCCACGCACCATTACATACAAGATGGGGGACAAGTCCGTCTCACCATTTACACAGTAAATGCTGCATTTTTGCTTCCATTTCCTAAAAAAATCCCCCCAGACTCCCCGCATGTAAAATGTGGCCCCCACGTTCCCCCGGCAACAAGCGATTAGGGTTCGCGGTTGTAAGCGTATGAATTGGAGCAAAGGCGGCCCATGTGAGATCGGCCCCCGCTACGAGTACCACCCCCGAAAGCCTTGTGCCGATTGGCCCATTGAGAGACGATGGGCAAAACCCAGGCTGACAGGCAGGCAAGCTGACGAATCAGTGGCCAGAGCAGGCCTAAGCGGCGTGCCTATGTGCGGATACTTTTCGTGACCCCTCCCTCCGGTGAACGGGCCCCATGTCCGGTAGGAGGGGGCCGGCTGGGTACACAGACCAAGGCGAGAAGTGAGCTTCCAGCTGGGCAGAGGGTTCGAGGCGAAGCCAGAGGAGTAAGAATCGAGGATGGGGAGGTGCCTGTATTTATTCGCAGTTCCAGGAACTATAGGTCTGAGCTGCTGCGCTGTGTCAGACGAGCGACCGTCCCGCAGTTCCAGGAACTATAGGTCTGAGCTGCTGCGCTGTGTCAGACGAGCGGCCGTCCCGCAGTTCCAGGAACTATAGGTCTGAGCTGCTGCGCTGTGTCAGACGAG